CGGTTTTCCGGCGGTCACATTTCCGACGGCTTTTCCGGCGCCTTTTTAACGTTTCTGGCGGCTTTTAAAAATTTAATAAAAAAATGAATAAAATTTTAAACATTTAAATGATTTAACAAAAAATTATTAAAAGTTAAAATAACTATTAACTTAATTTTCATCTTAAAATTAATTAGTTAGTTATTTTTTATTTTTTATTAAATATTATTTTTTATTTTAAATTAATTAGTTTTAATTTTTTTATAATTAAAGTTTTTTTTATTTCTGTGGGTTAGCTGCCAGAGCGGGATTTATTTATTTATTTATTTTATTTGACCGGCGGTTCAAGACCGCCGGTAAGCCGCCGGACAAAATTGCTGCCGCAAAAAACTGCCGGAATTCATTTTCCTACTCCGTTTTTACCGGCGGTAATTTAACCGCCGGAAAACTACAAAACCGCCGGAAAAAGGTTCAATTACCGCCAGAAAAGGCCGCCGGAAATGGGTGATTTTCCTGTAGTGAAGCTCAATACTCAGTGCTATGACAGCCATATTCACATTTTTCATGGTATATTTAAATGAAATAAGCACTGTATTCATGTTCTTTGCCACATTTGATTCCCCCCACTCACAAAATTTTAATGAGAATGCTCTAAGTGCTGATTTGGTTTCTTCAAGTTAGAAATTATGTTTAAAATATAAATAGCTTCTATTATTTGAATTTTCAATCACATAAATAAATACCTTCAAAACCCTTGAAAAAAAATATTTAATATATTTTCACATTCAAAACAACGGAAATAAAGTTAATCTCATTTAAAAAATATATTTTATCATCCACAATCATGCAAATTAACCCCAAGTGAATATTTTTACCTCTCATGAAAGCCAGACAGCAATGTCTGTCTTCTTCTTCTTCTTCAAGTTTCAGGCTTTCAGCGCCCAAGCGTGGCAAACCTTGTGAAGAAGAAATGACAGTAAGCAGCGAATAGCGTTGAGAGCTTTCACATCATGGCAAACCAATCAATACGGCAAAACTTCTTTTGTTTTTTAAAGGAGAGCTGTCAATCAAACGGCAAGCTAACTTCTTTGTTTATTAAGATAAATTATCTCTGAAAATGAAATGATCCTGTCACTTCTGCATATATATATGAAATTTGCGAAGGTTCGAGTCATTCAGGATTGCTTTGATTAACCATGAAGGGACTTAGAGTAGTTGCAGCTTTATTGATTTGCCTACTTACTGGAGGTAAGTATTTATAGCCTTCCATTCATTTTCTCTTATCAGAAAAATTACTAAACGACTGTAATTAGTTCGTGTTTTATTTTCATTGGTTGTCGTGTTTGTATATTTTATTTGTGTTTTTCTGTATTATTTTGTGGAGTATATATATAAGAATCATTATGGAGCTATCAATCACAGGATAAAAATGAAGATTTAATGTAGAAGAAGCTCACATTACAAGAAATTTACTGTATACCGGCGGTTTTTTCAGAGTTGGCATTAAAAATTTTTTGCCGTTATAGCTGTCGGTAAACCGTCGGAAAAAGATCGTCTATTTTAATTTCATACGCGATTTATTCCGGCTGCTTTCTAACCGCCTGAAATTTAAAAACCGTAGAGGGACTTAGAGTAGTTGCAGCTTTATTGATTTGCCTACTTACTGGAGGTAAGTATTTATAGCCTTGCATTCATTGGCCGTTGAAAAATCAATATGTATCTTCTCTTATCAGAAAAATTACTAAACGACTGTAATTAGTTCGTGTTTTATTTGTGTTTTTCTGTATTATTTTGTGGAGTATATAAGAATCATTATGGAGCTATCAATCATAGGATTAAAATGAAGATTTAATATAGGAGATGATCACATTACAAGAAATTCACTGTATACCGGCGGTTTTTTCACTGTTGGCACTAAAAATTTCTGGCCGTTATAGCTGTCGGTAAACCGTCGGAAAAAGATCGTCTATTTTAATTTCATACGCGATTTATTCCGGCTGCTTTCTAACCGCCTGAAATTTTAAAAACCGTAGAAAAAGTGTCATTTTTGCCGGAAATTGTTGCGGTACTGGACGATTTTCCTAGTTTCACGAGCTATTTTACCGTAGATAAACTATTAATTGACAATGAAGTATTGCCTCTCTCTGAAATCTGAATACATTGACTAGTTCATCTCATTAAGGCCTCATTTGACACGGCTTATTTTCTCCTCTTCCATTTGGAAACGGCGTTTGTCTTTGTTTGAATATGCGGCTTATATGGAAATGCTTTTTTGCATAACTTCATTTTTTTTAATATATGCTTCTCCGTTTGAGAACTCCATTTGCTCCATCAACATTTTTAAAATTATCTTTTACAAAAGTTAAAGAAATCACAAGAAGCCCAAGTAAAAAGTCCAAAAAAAATTAAAATGTTTGACTCATTCAATAAATAGGCTTGTTTGTAAAATCAATTTAATTCAAGCAAATAATTGATACAGACCCTAATGCACATAAACTTGTTCTCTTCTCAGGCGCAGCTACCACAACATTCGAATTCTCCAACAAATGCTCCTACTCAGTCTGGGTAGGCACTCTCTCCGGAGCCAACAACCCCCCTCTTTCCCAAACCGGCTTCCTCCTCCCAGCTTCCTCCTCCTCTTCCCTCACTGCCCCTCCGGCATGGTCCGGCCGCTTCTGGGGCCGTTCCTTCTGCTCAACCGACTCCTCCGGCCACTTTTCCTGCCTCACCGGCGACTGTGGCACCGCCCACATCTCCTGCAATGGCGCCGGCGGCTCCCCTCCAGCCACCCTCATCGAAATCACCCTCGGATCCAACGGCAACGCAGACTTCTATGATGTCAGCCTTGTGGACGGCTACAATCTCCCGGTGGCCGTGGGGCCCATCGGAGGCACAGGGGACTGTCGATTGGCGGGCTGTCAATCAGACTTGAATGGGAAATGCCCGCCCGAATTGGCGGTGGATGGGCCGGGCGGGTTGGTGATAGCATGCAAGAGTGCTTGCGAGGCGTTCGGGGACCCGCGGTATTGTTGCACAGGTGATTACGGGACGCCGAGCACGTGCGGGCCGACGAACTATTCGACGTTGTTTAAGACCGCCTGCCCGATGGCTTATAGCTATGCGTATGACGATCGAACCAGTACTTTCACTTGTGTGGGGCCCAAGAGCTACACATTGACATTTTGTCCATGATGTAGAGGATTAATGTATCATTTATTTATGTGGAGAGATTATTATATGCAAGGTCTTATTACGAGAAATTATTCTGTGTGGAGTTCGAACGGGAAGAATTATTTGTATTGTAAGTGTACACACTGTGATATTTGTACATAGTGTGTACTCATATATTCAGACGGATCTTCTCTTCTGAACTCTGCATATAATAATTTCTCCTAATCACAGACTGTCACGCCGTTTGTACACTATGTATATTTTGTACACAGACGTCTGGACTCTGCACATAATAATTTCTTATTTATGTATGACAATCAGATGTTGGTCGATTTGAATGATGTGTGAATATTTATAATTGATGGTGGATGATAGTAAATATTGATGTGTGATATATGTATCATATTTGTCTTGATTTATTCTCTAGATTTTTATGCTTGTCAAATGATAGTTTAGAAGAAGATATATATATATATGTTGGAGAACTCTGAAATTAATTTTAAAGTTTGGATAATTAAAATTAATATTGAACTATTTAATTTTTAATAATAAAATTTTGATAATATATTTTTTATCCAATAAAAATGTTAAACATGGATAATTTAAAATGCAGTGAATCACAAATGATAATGTGAGAGGGGATCAAAATGATGGATTTCAATTTTGATTGAAATTGTATAGCTTAAGAAATAGAAACTTCCACAACTATAGAATTCAAATTCTTTGTAGTTCTCCCATGAAGGACTAAATATCATATGTATTTTCATATGGGATGACCTCATTTGTAAATAATGACTCACTCCCATCTAAGCATATATCTAGGTTATGCTTTTGATCATGATGGAGAAAAATCATATGTGATACGGCATCGCAAAATTATCTTGATCAGGCACGAATCTCGAGGCAAAACCTAGTTGGAAACTTCAAAAGATTAATTATATAATACTATAATTAATAAAAGTACCTTTTCGGGGGGTGACATTGCTATGATATTTAATTACAAAGGTCTAGGCCCAATATAACTGAAAAGATATGTTGAGTAAAAATAGAGCTTCCAACAAAAATTATAATGTTCACGAAGCAGTGCAGAAAGAAAGATGTCGGGACTCAAAAAACATTAAAACACTCCCAAAACTCAATTATGAAATATCGAGTGTGACTCACAACCACAATGTTGCCTTGGTTATGCTCATGACCTTGTGGTTGGATATGGGTGGGTACTCAACATCAGGGGAAAAACCGATTTACATTGCTAATCACCGTATGCGATATATTATCGTAATCCTCACTACACAATGTGCAACACTAAACCACATTGCGACCATGATAAATTATGATATGTGACTTGAATGTTTGCAGTTATAGCAAATGGTAACAAGCCTTAAGGCCACCAGTTCGTGACAGATTATGTTCAAAAAGCGTGAAAAGTGGGTGGGTATGGGTGGATACGACATCCAGAAAGTCACCATGGGTGGGCGAAGCCCGCCCGCGTAGAGCGTGTGTACTCAATTAGAGCCCCATATAGGGCTTTGCCAATCATAGGATGAGGCCATTCAGAGGCATGATTATTTATTCGATGCAAGGGAAACTACATTTCATCATTGTCCAGCAAAAAAGGAAGCCACAAATGAAACTTGACATGTCATTAAAAAATTATCTTGATTGGGCACGAATCTCAATGCAAAATCAAGTTGGAAGCTTCTGAAATTAAAATTGGGACCATCCGAACTCCGATTTCAACAAACTTAAAGTCAAACTGTGCGTCTCGGAAATACAAACCCAACGACACCAAAATCAACTCAATCCGAGCCCAAACAAGCCCAAATCAAGGGTTAGAAGCGTTATTGGAAGGTTTGAAAAGCAATTTGATTTACCAAACGGTCTTCAAACATAACGAGCTTATAGTCGAATCGAGCGGCTCGACAAGCTAGACGAATCCAATGAGCCCAAGATCACTGAATTTCGACTCTGAAATTAAAATGGAGACCAACCGAACTCCAATTTTATTAAACTTATAATCAAACTGAGCATCTCGGAAATACAAACCCAACGACACCAAAATCAACTCAATCCAAGCCCAAATAGGTCCAAATCAAGGGTTAGAAGCGCTGTTGGAAGGTTCGAACAGCAATTTGGATTACCAAACGGTCTTCAAACATAACGAGCTTATAATCGAATCGAGAGGCTCGACAAGACGAATCCAACGAGCCCAAGATCACTGAGTTCTAACTCCAATAAGACATTCAAATGTCCACCAAACGATCCATGATCAAGGGATTCAATATCGACAGTCCATCCAACCACTCCCCATTTACCCTGGATCTCTCACCTATTTACGAGTCATGTCACTCCATAAATCTATAAATAGACCCCTCATTTCTCTTGAAAAGGGGATCAAAGCAAGAAGAGAAGAAGAGAAGAAGAGAAGAGAAGAAAGAGAAGGAAGAAGCTCCTCCTCGACCACCGCTAGAGTTTCACTGGACCACCGCCATAGTTTCGTCGGACCACAGCCGAAATTTCGCCAGACCACCGCCGGAGCTTCGTTGGACCACCACCTGAGGCCCTCGCCTTCGTCGGATCACCACATAAGCCCTGGAGTTCTGCCAGACCATTACCTGAAGCCCGAAGTTCTGCCGGTCCATCACCTGACACTCGGACTTCTGTCGTACAATTATTACTTGTAATATGATCGCCCTTGGAGGCGAGTCAGACCATTGTAACCAACTCAAGTTCTAGTGGAATCATTTTCAACTGGGTCAGGCCCCGTGGTTTTTCCCTTTTTCAGGGCTTTCCACGTAAAAATCTTGTGTTTTCTGTGTGTGAGCTAGATATCTGTGCAACGCTAAGACGTAGTATTCTAACTCTATCGCCGCGTATATTCTAGCCTGCAACAAAACTAGTGGCCACAAATATCTACCCAGAGGCCAGATCAGTCAAACACTTTCTTAACCTCATCATATTTTCCCATTATTTTAGCTTCACTAAAATAGCTCTCTTAATCTGGAATTGCAAAGAAAGATGGCATGCCTTTCATGTCCATGCCTTTCTAGGATTTTTAAGCTTGGGTGCAAAATAATAAAGAGAATTCTAACATTAAATAAAAATATAAATAAAATATTTGGTATCATTAATCATATATATATATATATTATATTAATAATAATAAATCTCATGAATAAAT